TTTTTATATAGTCTACAACTGTATGAAGTTAGAATGAATCCTCTTGTGAGAACACTTCTACATGTTTTTGTGAGAACATTTTTAAAACAATAGGCATTAGAAATAAATGACAGATAAAAATGGGGTTTTGATAATATATAAGAGTGTCGATTAAAATACATATACAGAGTGTATATTAAAATACATATAATTGAGAGATTGGATTGTTATTAATTGATAGGTTAAATTGTTAAGTGACTAGTTTGCAGATAATTTATCAATGTACGAAATGTAACTTGCGTATCGATACCGCTAGACGTATTATCGGTGTAATTTTCGAATGAGGTGAATCGTCATCGGTGGAATGAAGCGTTTCAGAATGCTTTTTAACGACGGCCAGTTACAATAACAAGCTTAACAAGCAATTCGACGTTTCGATATCGGCCGAGGCGGAACGGAATCGTGTGTCCAATAAAATCTCCGCGCTACGCGGACGATAATTATCGCGAGAAAACAGCGTTAATCCCCGCAATCAATCTGCCGTATATGCGCGGAGAGCGGAGGCATGCATGAAAATCTGGAAAACGCGCTTTACCCCGGTCACAATCGGGTGACCGCCGACCGGGACACCCTGCCCACCCGAACAACCCGGTTTGTCCAATAAAAGCTCCGTTTCCCTTTGCTATCACCCCCCTCTGTTCCACCCCTCCGCAAAACCATCTCGTCGAGCGGCCTAATAAATCCGACAGATAGGATTGGCGTGCGCTATCAATTAAAAATGATGAAACCGAACGTGCGTCCGCCTCTTCGTTGCGCCTACTATCACAACCAACCAGCGTTTTCTCCTCCGCTTGTCCCGTTTTATCGTTCCGTTTGTCTCTTTCGCTCCCGTACGCTTCGACTGATTCCTTGTCTGCTCGCGTAATAAGCTTAAGCGATTAGGTGTACCTTAGGGGCGCACCGACGTTCCCTTCTTCGGCCTTCCAGGCTCCTCGTTCGCTTTTCAGCTCGACACCGGGCGAACTACGAAAGGGGCAACCGGCACGAACGAGACGGTAAGACAGAAAGAGGCGAGGCGGGTCGGCAAACCCCTCCGGAGAAAATTGAAAAAAGGACGAGCGGGTGGCGCACGGGGTGGGTCGGCAGCACCGGCAGGTTTTAAACGCAATTTAAAATTTTAATTGCGATTCTCCTCTGGACGAGGAGCACCGCTGCGTTATCCGCCGTCCTTTTTCACGCGATCACGCTTTATCCACTTGGATATTACGAGCCTGGGTTTCTTTGCTTATTAATCGGTGATTGTGGTAGCTTCTATGTTTAGCATGGGGAGACTTCAGTAAACTGATATTTTTTTAACTTATGGTCACATAAAAGTTTACAGGTCATGAAACAACTGTATGAGTGTATGAATTGACTGATAGTATGAATTTTGACTGTATGAATTTTTAATGGTAGACTATAGAACAGGTCTTTAATGGGTCCATCAAAATATTAGCAAATTATACGTACCAATTATTCAAATATTTCTAGAAATTTAGCAGCAAGTTTTTAAAAGTTCTTTCGAATATTTAAAAAATAGACGACCTGAAATCTTTTAATTGTTACACTAGTACTATCTACATATCACTTTGAAAGGAGGTGTCCTCATGAAAAGAGTTCAAGAGTTCTTTCAACCCTTATCTACTATTAGACAAAGTCACGAATAATTTCTTAAGTTAAAGAGTTTCTTCAACAACATATACCATAACTTAATTTTCAATACAGAATTTATGAACCTTGAGAGGATTATATTTTACTTAATGACTTCAGGGTTGCTCAGAGTACTTGTAGTTTAATGTCCCAGTTAATAAACATTCTTTAAGTTAAAGAGTTTCTTAAACAACATACACAATCACCTAATTTTTATGTACAGAATTTATGAACCTTGACAGAAGAATATTTAACTTCATAACTTAAGGGTTGCTTATAGTACTTGTGGTTAATAAACATTCCTTGTCCCATTCCTTGTCCCAGTTAACAAACATTTCTTGTCTATATTAGTTTGTCTATAGAAACTTGTCTATATAATTTCAGAACAAAAGTTGATTTTAAAAATCGACAACTAAAATTGCAGGTGTTTTAAAGATCATAAGGTAATATTTGGGCCTCGTTGAACAGAATATATCGCATAGACCGCACGAAACGCGTACCCCTAGGAACCTAATCGATGCGTCGTCGCATGCGACTGCGTGCTTTTATCGCTGTCACGCACATAATTAATTTAATTTAGTTTAATACGACGGGGCCAGCGTCAGCCGGCGATTGCTGTTCCGATTGTTTGCACGGAAACGCTATCATTAAACTCGGCCCGCTCGTCGGCCGCGCACGACACTCGTGTCCGCTCGATTCGATAGAGATAGAGAACTACAGGAAAACAGAGACAGATATATTTGCGAGAGATCGCGTTGACGAATCGCGTCGATTACCGTTAATAACCTAGAACGCTAATTTCCGATTTCAGAAACTTTTCAATTTTTCATTTTGCAAAACTTTTACGTTTTAAAATTTTTTTCTTGAAATTTTTTAGGTAATTTTTGCTGATTTCAGATTTTTAAATTTGTGGTTTTGCGAATTTACTGATTTTTAAATTTTAGAATTTGGAATTTTTTGAGGGTCTGAATTTTTACATTTCTAAATTTCAGAATTTCTAAATTTTAGAATTTCTATGCTTCTGAGTTTCCATGTTTTCGAGTTGTTGGACCTCCAGATTTCTGAATTTGCGAATTTCCCAAATCCCAGATTTCTAAAATTCCGAATTTCCACTCTTCCAAATATCTCAATCCTCGAATTTCTAAATTTCCAAGCTTGCAATTTTTCTAATTCCTAAATTTCCAAATTCCCACATCCCCAAATTCCTAACCTCCAAAATTTCTACAACCCCAATTTCCTACATCTCCAAATTCCGACTTAACAAAATTTCTACAACCCCAATTCCCACATTCCCGAATTCCTAACCTCCAAAATTTCTACAACCCCAATTTCCTACATCTCCAAATTCCTAACCTCCCAATTCCTACATCTCCAAATTCCTAACCTCCCAATTCCTAAACCCCAAATTCCTAAATTCCCAAATTCCCAACCTCCCAATATCTCCAACCCCAATTTCCCAAATTTCCAAATTCCTAACCTCCATTTCCTAACCTCCCAAACCGCACAATGGAGTCTTTAAAGTCTCCAAACTAAAAAATTTCAAAAACATCCATCCTTTCTTCCTCCTGCATCGAATTTTCGATTCCACAAAAATTGCCACTTCTATGTCTGTTTCCACTCCCCAATTTCCACTCCTGCGAAAGGTTGACCGAGGTGTTATTTTTACGGTCCGTATAAAAGTCGATGGACGGAAATTCGATTAGTCCGTTACGTCAACAGTGACTTTTAATAAACGCTGCAAGTCGCGTTATTATATAGAAGTACCGTTCGTTTGTTGGTAAAATCGTTCGAGTAACACAATCGGCCACCGGTGTCGTGAGGGTTAACGAGTTAATACGTTGTTAGTTGCGTGACTCCGCGAGGCGGGGCGATTATTTAAAAATGTATGAATATTCGTCGTGCCAGCGAGAAAGAGATCTTTCGTTTCATACCGATTAACAACGCGATTCTATGCAATTATTCTTCTTAATCTGCCATCGGACAGATCTGCGATTACTGAGAGAAAGTGCTTACAACGTCGCGAATTTTTGAATTTCATGAAACTATCTTTTCTTGGTTAGTAAATAGCTATAAGCTTAGTTAGTGTTATAAATAGCTGACATCGGGCTTAGATATTTTTTATATGACAAGATTTCTGAATAATTAACTTCTCTGTCAGCGATAACATGACTATACGTGTATGTGGTTAATATACATGGTTAATTTACACGGTATCAAGTTACAGGAGGTTCAAAGTACTTATTTTTTATCGAGTTTCATGAGTTTGCAAATTTTATATAAATTTTTCTCAGCAAATTACGTTTTATATAGACACATCTGGTTTACAGTTATTAGCACTTTTTATTATTATATTGATTTTTTATTTGTGTTATAAATAGCTGACATCGGGCTTAGATATTTTTTATATGACAAGATTTCTGAACAATTAATCTCTCTGTCAGTGATAACATGACTATACGTGTGTATGTGGTTAATATACACGGTTAATTTACACGGTATCAAGTTACAGGAGGTTCAAAATACTTATTTTTTATCGAGTTTCATGAGTTTGCAAATTTTGTATAAATTGTTCTTAGCAAATTACGTTTTATGTAGACACATCTGGTTTACAGTTATGAGCACTTTTTATCATAAATTTTTTACTATGATATTGATTTTTTATTATCACATTGATATCAGTCATAAGAAGTCGAGAACTTTGTTATCAAGTTTCAGTTATGAGTTTGCAAATCTTATACCTGCCTTGCTATATCAATTTTAGTAAGAATTTTAATAAGAGTATTCTTTTCATAAAAATAGTTATATTTTCAAGATACTAATTTTTGCTGTTGAAGATATTAATAAAAAGTTACATAATATTCTGACATGTCTCTGTTGCACATATCAATACTAAAACTACCAAACTGTCCAAATAACCCCTTCACAAGTTTCTTATTATAAGGTACACATTTTGTTAAACTACATTCCTTGCAATCATCATCGATTTTCATCAAGATAAAAAATAAATGTGTGTTCTAATTTATGCTTCGTCCTTTGTTTATTTATTTTTTAACTTCACTTTTAATTTCAAATTAAGTGCACATTATATATCGGTACGTTTAGTGCTCAAAATTAGGTTACATCTTTAGGTACATCCTTGAAATCAGCATCGATCTTCATCAAAATAAAGAATAAATGTGTGTACAAATTTATATCTCCTCGTCTATGTACTTATTTTTTAACTTCGTGTTTAATTTCAAATTAAGTGCACATTATATGTAGGTACGTTTTGTATTAAAAATTAAGTTACATCGAAAGAATTACAATTTCTTGTATGAAAGAAAGTAACTCACCTGAACGCGAACTTCCGGAAGATTGACTTTCATAGCCAGCTCCTCCCTGGAGTACACATCGGGATAATGAGACTTCTCGAAGGCCCTCTCGAGCTCGTGCAGCTGGTAGGTGGTGAAGGTCGTCCTGTTTCGGCGATGCTTCTTCTTGCCGCCATTCCCGTTTAAATCGTCCCCGCAGCCTGTCCCGATTTCCTCGTCGCTGCCGCCGCCGGTGGAGTTGCAGCTGTTCTCACCTGGAACCCACGGGAGTGGTCAGGTCTCCTCGGAAACGGTCGTTACGGTTAATAGGTACGGTAATGGTGATCGATTTATCCAGTCCCAGCTATTACCTCTATTATGCGCGTATAATGCCAGCTATTACAAGTGTTGTAACGCTCATCACCGTTCTACGAGCTGAATTTCGCGATCGCGTGCATCCTTCCGATTGTTTCGTTTATTCGCGAATTTCTCTTGCGAACTAACTGATCGAACAATTTCTTTGTTGATGAAGGACGAAGTTTGTTGGGCTCTGTTTTGGGAAATTGGAAATTTAGAGGGAGGTAAGTTGGAGAATTTAGAGGGGTGAGAATTTGGGGTGGGAGAATTCTGAAATTTCAGAGTTTTGGAACTGGAAGGAGGGTAGACAAATTTGGGTGTTTAGGAATTGGGAAATTTGAGAATTTGGGGATTTGAGAAGTTGGGAGTGTGAGAATTTGGGCGCTTAGGAATTAAAAAATTTGAAAATTTGGGAGTGTGAAACTTCGGAAATATGAGAATTTGGGAGTATAAGAATTTGGACGCTTAGGAATTAAAAACTTTGAGAATTTGGGGGTGTAAGAAATTAGGGATGTGATAATTTGGAGGTGTGACAATTCGGAAGTTTGAAAATTTGGGGGTGTGAGAATATAGGCATTGAGGAATTCGAAAATTTGAGAATTTGAGAGTGTGAGAATTTGGAAATTTGAGAATTTGAGAATGTGAGAATTTGAAGACGTGATAAGTTTGGAATGTGAGAATTCAGAAACTTGAAAATTTTGGGAATGGGATTTAGGGGGTGTGAAAATTTTAGCATTTGTAAATTTGCAAATTTGTGAATTTTTGTAAACTTCTGAATTTCTGTAAGTTTGTGAATTTATGTAAATTTGTGAGTTTTTTTAAATTTTTGAATTTATATAAATTTGTGAATTTTTGTAAACTTATGAATTTTTGTAAATTTGTGAGTTTTTGTAAATTTGTGAATTTATGTAAATTTGTGAATTTTTGGAAATTTGTCAATTTTTGGAAATTTGTGAAGTTATGTAAATTTTTCAGTTTGTAAATTTGTAAATTTGTCAATTTGTCAATTTGTCAATTTGTCAATTTGTCAATTTGTCAATTTGTCAATTTATCAATTTGTCAATTTATCAATTTATCAATTTATCAATTTGTCAATTTCTAAATTTGTCAACTTCTAAATTCGTCAATTTCTAAATTTCTGAATTCATGAATCACTGAATTTAAAAATTCTAAAATTTGAAAACAAGCTCTTTAAAATTTGTAAATCAAACGAAAATGTAACATGAAATCACAAAAGAATAATTCTAAAAAGAACATATCACAATTTTGTTCTCCAAAAAAACTTCATTTTTACCAAAAACTATAGAGCACCGATTTATCGAAAATTGCATCGAAGCAAAGTATTCAAAGGTCCACCCTCTATCTCGTATTATTCAATTCCAATGGCACACTTCGTACTTGCTATTATTGATTTACACGGGTTTGTAATTATTGCCTCTATTATGCACAACGACGTATTCATTACAACTGTAACGATTGCAACACGAACGAACTCATAATATTACACGCGTTCAATATTACCGAATCTTAATAATTAATTATCGATTTTTGTTCAATGTATAATTTGAAATCTGTCCTGTAGAAATTCATAATTGAAGCACGAATTAAAATGATGGAATATTTTATTTCTGCCTGTTCCTTTATCGACGTTGAACAGTTAATTAAATGCGATAGAATTTAAAAAGGTAATCGCCTTGGAAAAGCTCGAATATGCATTGACACGCGTGTTTGTGTATACTGAATGTCGTGTTGAAGATTGTAACCGTTGATTAAATATTTGTAAGCTCTCGTGCTAAATGAAACGAAGCTTATCTGCCATTTTACAAAGTAGCAACCATATTGTGGCTGTGTTACGCGCTATCGCTAAAGGAGCAACGAGTTGGAAAAAGGAAAATTTACGATGTTTGACGATATTTTATAATGCTTGAGTTATCGCGAGATTTGCTTATGAATTACGGTTTTAATTAACCTTACACATTCGCAATTAAAAGATTGTTTATCTGTTTCCATTTAAATAACCTAAGATTTCATTTACATTTTATTAATCTTTACTTCTTTTAGTACATGAAAATTTTAAGAAATTTTAGGTTGAAAGAAATATACTTTAATTGTCTTAATTTGTTAACAAGTTTCAAGTTTTATTTATAATTACAGAAGAGTAATCAAATTCTCAAACATTTCTAACATTTTCATTCTAAAACAAAATTTCATAAAGTGCTGTAAAAATTTTGTCAAAAGTTTTGTTATAAAAGTGTGTAATAATCGTAGAAAAAAGAATTTAAAGCGTAAACTCAAAAACAGAATATTCGACGCACAATCATTTATGGCAGAAATCGCTGCAATTTGCTCATAACACACCGGAAATTGGCGGCCCAGCAGCAAAAAGGGAAAAACCGAACTTTGGACGCAATTACTCGTTTTATTTGAACGAAAATTTTGTAAATTGCCTCGGGAAAGCATTGTTCAAGAAAATTAGTTGCAACGTTATTAAACAACAAGTAGCTCGCGTCTTACGAGACATTTCGTTGTCGTTAAACAAGTTATAGCACGTAACCGCGTACCATGTACTTCCGGCAAACTATTACACGCTCCTTTTCACTGCAAATTACCGCCATCTCTCGCATTATCCGTCCTTATTATAGTATCCAGGAGCACGAACGCCGTTATCGAGGAAGAAATTGATTCTGTGGAACCACAGGGAACATTCTCTCTACTACCACATATTTTCTTTGACAATTTTTGATACGCTCTCGCTAATCACTCTTTAGCGTGTATCTTTATCGTTTTTAAATATATCTTCGCTATATCGCCATTGAGGGAACTTTCATTGGTTATATAGGGTATCTCATAATTAGTGTTGGTCCCTGAAATGTAGCTGACGTGATTCTGAATAAGATTTACCTCTGCAAAAATGGAGTTTAAAGCTTCGTTTTTGAATTATTAAGGAATATAATTTTTCGCTCCGTAATTTCGATGCGCTGTATTTCCACGCGCCATAATTCCACGCTCTGTAATTTCTACGTGATGCATTTCCACGCGTTGTAATTTTCACGCGCCATAATTCTACGCGCCCTATTTCCACGCTGCGTAATTTCCACGCGCTGTACTTCCACACGTTGTATTTCGACGCGTCGAAATTTCTACGCACTGTGATTTCACGCGCCGAAATTTCTACGCGGCATAATTTCCACGCGCCGAAATTTCTACGCGCCGTATTTCCACGCGCCGAAATTTCTACGCGCCATAATTCCACGCGCCGTATTTCCACGCGCCGTATTCCCATGCGCCGTATTTCCATGCGCCGAAATTTCTACGCGCCGTAATTTTCACGCGCCATAACTCCACACTCCGTAATTTCCAAGCAATTTATATTAAGGAATACAATTTTTTTTAGGCTCGAAGTTGTCGCTCTCGCGTCTGCGCGTAATCTCGCGCTCTGATTGGTCCGTGCCTTAATAATTCAAAAACGAAGCTTCAAACGCCATTTTTGCAAAGGGAGATCTTATTAAAAATCACGTCAAGTACCATTTCAGCGACCTACATTAACTTTTAGACGCCCTGTATATTGGGGTGATTAAAATTTTGTTGATGTACAGAGTTTGTTGGTGTATGAACTCTGTTTTGTGGATTGGACTGATCCACAATATCTCGTAGATATTGGTACTTAATCATACACTTTATAATGCTTGATATAACAAGTGGAGCTGTAATCTTTCAATACTCAACGGAAATTTATTATTTCATACGTATTTAATGTGTCAGTGTTATATATTACTGTGTGTTATGGTAGGGTTGTGTCATATGAAAGTTGCCGTCAGGTGATATAACGAGGCGTCGTAACGAATCAGATTTATTCTAATAACAAATAATCAAAAATCTGCAAGTACTAATCCATTCCTCGCGTGTGCTATACGCGCTAAATTTTTTCGCGCGAATAATACGAAATTATATGTACTTATAAAATAACAAAAAGCCGTGGCCCAATTTTCCCCAGCAATTCCGCCGCTAATCGTCCCCTTGCGTGTGTATTGACAGGGTTCATATTTTCAAAAGAAACATGAATCTACACAGAATAAAGCAGCGATACGTGTCCACACGTTCTAACGTGATTAATTTGCAACGGGAAGGAAATGGAGGCCCGTTTTCCGGCGTTCTTCGACCATAACCAAACGCAACAATCGAATTCGTCCGAGCTCCAAGTGATTCTCTTTTCGACGTCCCATCCCGACACCCTGTGGGGTATATATATTCAGGCTCTCATTAACTGCATAATTAACCTTCTCTCGCATCGCAGCGCAGCGCATTAGATCGAATTGTGGGGGGGTAATAGGGTGGCTCAATGGCGGCGTTCTCGTGTATACACACACACA